ATTGTATAAGAAAAGCATACAAGCCGTTGTTGTTTCGTTTGTGTTGCGTTAGGACATTCGGAGCTTCTGCACTTCGGGAGCGCGACAAAGAAGAAGAAGGCCCAACCAAACACTGAATACACAGAGAGAAATGGAAGCCACCGAATACGAACTCGATCAGCGTCTTCGTTTCTAGAGGTAACTGCTTTCTCAGTTTTCTTGCAGTAGCTGATCGAATTTTCATGAAAGGATCCTATGAATTTTGTGTTTGTTTGTGTGTGTGGCAGCGATTTTTGGTTCGAATTAATCGAAACAGAGTTATGAACTGCTTATTTGAATCGGTCGAACGAGTAGAGGCTGAGCTTCTTATCGATTCTCGATTTGTTAAAGTGCTTTTTGATTACGCTGGTTAGTAGCTGAGAGAGAGCGGGTTAGTGTTTAGTGATGGAATTGTTTTCGACCGGTCCACCAATTAAACGAAGAGCTGGATTGCGGATTAAACAGGCGGGTCGGGCTTCGTATCGGGGCAGCTAGATAAGGTGTTTGTTTGTTTTTGCGTGCTTTTTCTAGAAGTGATTGATTGATTTTGTTACTAGTTGTTGTATTTGAGAGAATTTTGAGGAAGTTGAGAAGATAATGGGGACTACTGCTCTGAGGCAGTTGCTGAAGAACCTGTGCAGCAATTCGCCTTGGAATTATGCTGTGTTTTGGAAGCTCAAGCACCAGAGTGATTTGTAAGCTTCTTGTCTCTTCTTTTATCCGGTTTTCGCTATGAATTATAGTAGAAAATTTTAATCTGTTTATCCGTCATTAGAATTTGGAAAGTAATTAATTAGTTAGTCAAAATGCTTTTGCGATTTTTGTTTTGATGATCTTGCTGCTTCCTTGGTGCACTATGTGCATTCTGTTTGATTCGAATCACATTAAGATATGAAACATATTTATAAATGCATAGAGAGGTTTCAATATTTGTATGTTATTAGGAATTTAGGATTGACATCCTAATGGACTTTCTGTGCCGAGTTTTATGTGTATCTCACCTATATCAAATCCAGTGACGATCTTCATAATGATACTGGTCTTCTTGTTGTCTAAGGATTTTGTCGTGGGAGGATGGGTACTGTCATCACCCAAAGCCAATAGAAGCTGTTGAGCATGCATCGGATGATATTTATTTCAGCAACGCAAATCAGATGCTTTTTAAAGGTTTTGCAACAAGTATACATGATGGTGGATCTACAGGATATCCAATTGGACTAGCAGTGGCTGATATGTCATATCTTCAGCACACATTTGGAAAAGGGTACAATCTTGTTCTTGACTCTAGTCTTGTTGTGTGCCTCCGTTGACTCTCCAAAAAATGTCTGTACATGTGTTTTACAAGAAATATATGCAAATATATAAGTAACCAAAGAAATTTCGGCGGAGGTGCAAAATTTCCATTTGTCTTACAGTTGTTGTTTGCGTAAACTCTTTCTTTACACACATTCATGACCGCTACTTATAAAAACCGGTGCTATTTGCAAATGTTTTGTTCTTGAAAGATATCAGCAAGCCGCACAAGGTGTTTAATTTTAAGTTTCTCAAAATCGTAGGGAATGAAAAATGGTTCACTGTGGATTTGAATAATTTCTCAGGGTTGTTGGTGAGGTGGCATGTACAGGAAACTATAGCTGGGTATTCCTTAACAATCTGTGCACCAGAGAGTCTGGCTCTAAGTTATTTCCTGAGGTAAATCTTATTCTAACATGCTGATGTAAATTCTTAGCGATCTTTGTATACAGTTGGTAAAATTTCTTCTAGTAGTGAACAGTATATCTAAATAAGAATATATTTTCTCAGTGTCCAGATGAATGGATTCTTCAGTTTTCATCGGGTATCAAGGTAACTAGTTTGTCAGCACATACTAGCCCACACTTGTGACTTTAATTCCTCAAGTTTCGCATGTTTGTGATGGATGGAAATCTGAGTACATATTTGATTTCTCATTCAGACAATTTTACTTGTACCTGTGCTTCCATATGGAGTTTTGCAACTTGGCTCCTTGGAGACGGTTCGTGCTCATTCTGAACTCATTCTATATAAGCAATTTATGTCATGTAACCCTTGTCATTATAGTGTCGTAGCTTATAGCTTACAAGTTTATGTCCTTTCCCCTTTCCGGATCTTAGGGAGCATGTGCTTCTTGGTCTGAATTCTCTGTCTGTGTCCCATGTACATCGATTTGTATTCTTCTTATTTATCCCTTTCTCTTTTTATCAAGATTTCAGGTTGCTGAAGATCCAACAGTGGTTGCTTTTGTGAAAGATAGATTCAATGACATTCACAATGGTATGGGGAAAATTGTACCTTACAGTCAAGCTCAATCGTCATGGTCACAATCATCAAATTTAATGGAGACCACATTTGAGCCATCAGGTGTTACCATTAACCCACTGAAAGTTGAAAAGTCAGAAGATGTTGATAACATCAGATATAATAACCTATTGTCGACATTGGGGCACTTGTTGCCAACTGCTGAAGATTCACTTCTAGAGACCGGAACAGATCAGCCAGAAGTTCTAAAGAGTAGAGACGAAAGTGTGACTGGTGTTCCACCAATTTATCACAGTGGAGAATCAAGTCCACTCAGTCAGTCGATAGATACCAGCTTGCTGGGTATGATGGAAAGTCAGATGTTTGGGTTGTCTTGTCTGGAGGAAGAACTCCTAGCCTATTCTCAATTTGGTGGTTACAATTTGGAAGTGTTTGGAGAATCCATGAGCGATTTCACTTCTTACCCTGTTGGAGGTGTAGCTGAACTGTTCGAAGACGTTAATGCTAAAGATACAAGTTACAGCATGGTGAATAATTTCTTTAGCTTTCCTGAAACCTGTGAACTACACAAAGCACTTGGAACACTTTCGCAGAGGCAGACCGATGAAAATTTATGGGATCCATCCATTGGCATTGATGATACGTGTAGCAGCTCTAGTTTGCAGAAAGATCTGGCTAGCTGTATTGAGCCATCATGGTTTTCCAAAGGAAGTGATGCTGAGAATCTCGTGAAAGCGTTTGTAGCCAAAGATGAAACCTCGTCTAGCCGATCAGACAATATTAAATCATCTACTTACCTCATCAAGTCAATTTCCTGCTTCTTTTAAACAATTGAAATTTGAAGCGTGTGCCCCAATAGGAAGTGGTTCGGTGACATGGAACCAATCATCTGCTTTACTTGCCAGGGGTGCTACTCCAGCTTCTTTCACAGACATGATGAGCACTTTGGTTGATGAAGAGCAGCAGGGGAAAGGGTACAAATCTGTGAAGCCTAAAAGGGAACAAAAGTTATCTGGTGGCACTGCAAGGAAGACCAAGATTGGCAATAGCCCGAAGCTAAGACCAAGAGATAGACAACTGATTCAGGATCGTGTCAAGGAGCTGCGGGAACTTGTCCCAAATGGTGCCAAGGTGAATATCCTTTTTGTATTTGTTGTAGGCTATACAGAATTGATTATTTTTCTCTAGCTTACTGTGCTTTGTATGCGGTGAATTCAGTGCAGCATTGACGGCCTTTTAGACCGAACCATAAAACACATGCAGTTTTTAAGAAACATGACTGACCAAGCCGAAAAACTGAAGTGCTACACACAGCAAGAGGTATGCAACGTTTATTTCAAGTAACGCTCCTTTGTGCTGCAGAGCTTCTGTTAATTGCGATCTGATTTTCCAGACAGTTTTCGATCTACTTTGTAGATTGAAGAACAAAAGCATCCATAAATTAGAAATTTTGGAACAACTTGACCTCTTTGCATGAAATAATTAGAATGAATATATCAAGGAATAGCTGCCACCACAAGCACGATGACTCTCTTAGACAAAAAACACTTATGTAACAATATACTAGGACTCATATAAGCTTTTTAATCCTCAAAGCCATTTTATAGTTCCAAATCCAGCTGTTGGCGTTGATGTTGAAGACAAACGCACTAATCACAAGTTTCTAACCAAATCCTTGATGCTTTTTCAGGCACCTCGTTCCAATAACATGAGCGAAGCTTCAAGTGGCTGTGAAAATGGGACAAGCAGGGCTTTTGAAGTTGGAAGCGAACACCAGATTTGCCCCATTGTGGTAGAAGATCTTGAACACTCGGGACACATTCTCATAGAGGTCTGTTGCGTGTCCTCGTCTTTGTTAATTTTCTGAACGCAAAGCTTCATAGCAGAAACATTTCATCCAAATCTTCTATAACTACTGCAGATGCTATGTGATGAACACGGACTTTTCTTAGACATAGCCCAAGCTATCCGACGGTTGGAACTGACTATCTTGAAGGGTGTCATGGAAACTCGCTTAAGCAACATGTGGGCACACTTTGTTGTTGAGGTATACTGTCTCTACAATAATTCCATCTAGCAAAAAGGCCGAAGTATGGTTTTGGTCGTATCATGTAGTTTCGGTGAAGTTCCACTTTGGTCCATGTAGTTTCAGTTTTCGCAGTTTTAAGAACATGGTTTACTAGTTGCAATTTAAGAACAATTACTCAATTTGGTCAAAATTTTCAACGAAAATAGCACTGTTTCGGGTAAATGCGGGGTGTTTTACTCATGTAAAACACCCTATTTACTCTCACATTTGTCTATGATGTGCTAATCGTGTTGAAAGAGTTGTGGAATTTTGTCCTTGAATTGTTGCAATTAGTAACTACAGATACCAAATGCGAAAGAGGAAACTACATAGACCAACAATTGTTCGGAAACTAGGAAGACGAAAATCGTAATTTAGTTGAAAGAAGGCCGTAATTGTCGTTGTTCTAAATGTTATGTTGGTTTGAATATGCCCAGGCTCCATTGGGGTTTCACAGAATGGATGTGTTTTGGCCACTGCTGCATCTTCTGCAACGCAGAAGAAGTTCAATATCAAGCAGGATATGATGCGCCTCCATTTGCATCCAAGAAAAGCCGGTAAGCCGTCGAATATTGTGGCTTCGAACCCTCGAAACCAGATGACGATGACGATACCTAGGAGACATCACCATCAATCCTCATCAGAAGACTGTAAATTATCAGTACGAGTACTTAATTGTCTGTGTACAAATTAAGATTTCTATGCAATTTGATGAAAACCAGCATCTTAAAAACTAGAAAGAATGGAACACATGGCCGTACGGCTCGCGAATGTGCGCATAGAAATAATGTACAACTGATACAAATGGGTCTTTCGGCTAATAACACAGGCTAGTGGAGGTTGGTCCTCCTAACAAGTCATTCCTTTTCTATCGTCATCATCGATTGGCCCCAACTCAAATGGGTCTTTCGGCTAGAAGTAGCGTATGCCACCAGCCACATGCAATATTTTTCGGTAGGCAACCTTCTATAGAAACTTGAGAAGGAGTGTTCCTATCCACGGAATCGCCCAGGCCAAGCTGCATACAACCGGGAATGGAAAAGCTCGTTAAAAGTTAAAAAAGATCGTTCAAGAATATACAGTTTGTGGCTCAAAGATTTTGATCATGTTAATTAGTATACCTGGCCATACTTATTCCACCCCCAACTAAATAACTGGCCGTCTTCTGCAGCCAAAATAACAAAGGGAACGATCAAATTAAAAGATTTGAGAATTATCAGTGATTAGTGCGAGTATCAACGCTTTTCAGCTTCATTTGCTTACCTGTTAGAATGACACTATGTCGGGCGCCACAGGAGCCTACTTTTGCATGCTTGCTTCCCAAACCCGGAAAATCCAATATCTTAGGTAGAGTCTGAAGCAACAAGAATATGATTTAGTTAATTTATACGAGGAAATAAAATGCGTGCATACAGCAACAAAATGGGCCAAGTTAAGATCAGAAAGCTGAAAAAAGAACCTAGACGGAGAGAGTGTTGAGTTTACCTCAGCCTCGTCGCCACCTGTTCCCAACTGTCCAAACTGATTCCCACCAAAAGCATGTACACGACCATCATCAGATATACATAGAGTATGCCATAGTCCAGCAGCGATGTTTTTCACTTTAGTACCGGATAATGAATTCAGATAACTTGGTCGTAGCTGATCATTTGTATTCCCTTGCCCACACTGGATCAAAGCAAGAAAAGAAAAGAAATGCCACAGATAAATAACAAGAACGAAGAAAAGAAAATGTGATTCAATTGAAAATGTAATCAGTAGAGCTCCTAATTATAACAGTGTGCAAGGAGAGCAAACAATTTACTCAGTGCAAGACAACATAGCATTAGACCTTGACTAGCATAGCAAGCTCACCTGTCCATAGAGCCCCCAGCCAAACGTAAGCAGTGCTCCAGCATCTGTAAATTGAAAGATCATTTCTAAGGGTAAAGAAGTGAATACAAAATGAACTGGTCACACAAAAGTGGACGTCTTCGTCAAATTAACAGGACCCATAGAACAACCAAGAACAATCCGGCATTTTGCATGGATCCAAAGGTAATTAAGGATGGGAAGCAAATAAGTAGGCTTATATTAACACATACAACCTACAAACGCAGTCTATTAACCAGCTCTTCATTCTCTGGTTACAAGCTCTATACGATCCCTTAAATGCTGACCTGTTACTACCGCACTGTGCCGGCCTCCACAAGCAATCTCCTTCACACAACTTCCAGGAACTTTTGAACCTTGAGATACCACAGAAGACCTATCCTTCCCAGAAGTAGATGGCTCAATACAGGGTATGACATGAGGAGAAGAAACCATCTTTACCCTGGTACCCAAACCTAGCTGTCCTTCGCCTCCATAGCCCCAACCCCACACCTGTCCCATATCTGAAACTTCGGTTAAAATTATGATGCATCAGGAGTCTTGCGTTACATCAAAAATCTTCCATAGCTTCGTACATCCTACAAACCTACAAAACTATATGGTGTGACCACAAAGAAAAGCAACTGCCCTGGGAGTCTTAAATATAAACCTGAAGCTTTATTACCTGTTAATGCTAAAGTGTGGCGTCCGCCAGCTGCAACAGTAGTGATTCTCACTCCAGGACCCAGAGTTACAAGACAAGGAGAGGGAGTGAAGAATTCTTCACTACCTGTTGAGCTTTCAGATTCAGGTTTAGCTGACGAAATCTTCCTCCGCTTTGCAATGTCCTCTCCGGCCCTTTTGCTGTCAAGATTAGATACTGTCCCACTAGTCAGATTGAAGCCTTGAGGCACCGAGTTTACTGTATTAAATAATAAGGTCTTAATCACATTGATCTAGTACAATTTAGAAGGTGCATGTTTCTCCAGATATACCCAGGTTACAGAAATACCTTGTTCAACTAGTAATGAACTTTGATTCCCAGTAGTATCCCTTTGAAGGCGTCCCACCATACCCAGATCACCGATAAGATTCCCAGAGGGGACACACTCTTTCCAACCCCATGTGTATAATTCACCATTCTCTGTAGCATGTACATTGGCCAATAACCACAATTAGTTCACATTCTGCTCCTAAACAAGGGGACCCGTTTGATAACCATTTTGTTTTTAGCTTTTTTAGTTTTCATTTTTCTTGTAGATATGGAGGGGAAATACATGAGAGAAATGAATGATGTAGAGGAGAGGAGGAAGTACAGTGTGAGAGACATAGAAAAAATGTACAAGAAAAGGAATACAAATTGAAAACTAAATACCAAAGTCTATTTTAAGTTGTTTTCGCTATACAAATTTTGTTTTCATTTATTCTTTATTTCTTCCCCTCCCTCTCACCACCCTTCTTCATCTCTCCTTTCTCCCTAAACTTTCTCCATATCTCAGGTGCAAAAAATGGACTAAAAATTAAAAACGAAATAGTTATCAAATGGGCCCTAGATTATCCATAATTTTTCATGTTATCAAACTCAAATCGAAGAATTACCTGCGGTGTTTCACACGTGTTTCCTAAATGCAACTAGTACTAAGAAACACTAGTAATCCACACATCAGTCAACTAACCAATTTACACGTAAATCATTTCATTTCAAACACAAATTTAAGTACTGAATTATGAATATTCATTCCATCATTTTCACAATCCAAACGGTCACCAGAAATTGGAGCGAAAACCTACCCGTAACAGAAACGCAATGGGCCCAACCGGCAGCAGCCTTGAGTATTGAAGCCTCATTTGGGAGACGACAAGGCTCCGGCGTCTCCTTAACAAACGTGCAGCAACATAAACAACAATCCAAAACAAAGATGCAAAAATTAGTTCTAAACAATTCGAATTCTGAAAACATTTCAGCAATTAGAAGATCGCTGCATTACCCCGTGCTTCCCTGAAACGACGTAGCTCTGCCCCTCGTCGTCCGTCGACCCCCACGTCATCAACTTCCCACACTCTAATATCATCCAAGCAAATTGAAAAAAAGGATTTACAAACTGAACATGTAATTAAGCATTAATCACTTGTTTAAAGATTGAGAATTGGAGAACCAAACCCGAGATGGCCATGGCGAATCCGCAACCGCCGCCGCAGACGTCCTTCCACGAATCCCCACCGTCCATCCGATTCGGGAACTGCACAGGCGTCAGAGACAGTGTTGGAGACTTCTCCGACGATACTCCGGGAAGATATCCCCACATATACACCAGAGCTTCTCCCCGATCCTCCGTTTTCGTCGAGCCTCCTCTTACCCCTTCATTGCAGTCCATCGCCGATCCGAAACGACCTCGTTTTCTCGCGTAACAAATCTGAGAACAAAATCTCTCTCTCTCTCTCTCTCTCTCTCTCTCTCTAGCGAAAGCTTCAGTGGGAAAGTTACAGCGAGACCGGAGAAGAAAGCAAAAGGACTGAGAGAGACATGAGATCGAGGCATTTCATTTACCGGGACGCAACCTGCGCCACGTCGGATGCCACGTGGAGCGATCTGGACCCCGAGTGCGGATTACCATTTTTAAGCCACCAGTGTGCTGGAACATTCTCGAAGAGGGAGTTGTCGAGGAGGTCTGGTGGGTCACCACGTGTGTGGTGGGCCCTGTGCGCGTTGGCGTATATATATTTTAATCGTTGTCCGATCTGAAATTTAGCTCGGATTTAGATATGGTTTGGGGTTGAGGTGATTTTAAAAAAAATTGGTATGAAAAGAAAACTAAGAGAGTTTTTGGTGTTTGATAAACACCCCAAATCAGCTTTTTTTCAAAGTTTCAGATGAAAAAAAAAACTAAAAAGTGGAAGCTGCAAAAAGCAGCTTCAAAAAATGGTTTATTGTGGAAGTTGCCAATATTGCCCTCCTTTCTCATTTCTCCTAATTCCTCTTAGGAGGAAGAACAATGTCGTGGCCAGATGACATGTATGGCGTGGCCAGAAATTTCAGAGGAGTTGCCTCCGGCGAGCCTGCAGTGCCGATGTCGCTCGGGTTGAGTGGTGATAACAGTCCGAGTCCCTCGATTCCATTGGTGGTGGAGCTGTCAGGAGCAGCCAACTAAAGGAAAGACTGATGGTCCACGAGCGCTATCATTGAGCATGATGAATCAATTCCGCAGCCAATTTTATCCTTAGAGTGTGGATGATGAAAAAGAAGTCTTTCCACCACAATCTTTCATCTTCCTCCGTCAGCTGCTCACCATCCATATACCTATTAGAGTGCAGAATCTCCTTGGCTAGCAAAACGATGAGCTCAATGTCGTTTAAAATCTCTCGTTCCTTATCTTTCCACTTGCAGTAGTCAGGGTCGTCCCAACGAGGGTACTTCGGTGTTTCCTTCACGCACAGCCTCTCAGTAAGGACCTCTCCGCTGAGGACAATGGACTCTTCGGCCGAGTCGACTCGCTCACCTCGTTGCATTATGCCTTGTCGCTTGGGACCGTAAGCCTAAGGCCCAAGCGTCGGTGGTGGACTCGCAGACAAAGGAACGAAATTGTACGCAGCAGCAACAGGTTCAGAGTCGCTATTCGCGTCGTCATCGTCATCTCATTGTTTGAGTAGCATTAGTGTATGTTGGATCATGGTAGTGATTGTGCAGGTGTTTGGTTATTAGGTTTCTGCAAATTCACGGTGGAGGTTGTGAGGGTTCCATAGTGTGAGATGAAAAAACGAACAACGTTGTGGCTTATCATAGTACATCTAGTATTATAAAAGGTCATTTCACACAGTCACAGCTGTTTTACATAAAAATTTACCAAACACTATCATACTGATTTTTTTTTTTTTTTTCCAAAAGCACTTTTACAAAAAAATTTACCAAACACTCTGCTACTTTATTTCACAGTTGCTTATTCTCACTAGCAGAAGCAATTTTTTTTCAAAGCACAACAATACCAAACCAACCCTTAGAATAATAACAGTGCAAGCTGCGTGGAAAGAGATCTAACGTTGGATCCAAATATTTATAACCGACGGTCAGAAAAGTGCCACAACATCATGGATCTAATCAAGTTGTGTTAGAGGGTGGGAACCCCCTTACCCAATGAGGATCGGAATGGGGCACGAAGTCAGGTAAGGGGGACCGGGATGGGGCACGAAGCTTGAAATGAAACAAATTGTATGAAATTAGTATCATTTTTATTCCAATTTCAAACAGTTTAATAAACAACTTTCATAATAATCTGATTTTTGACCGGCCGGCTTCAAGCCTTTACCATCCCTACCAACGGATCTATTTGCATCAACAAATCAAACTCGTCCGTGCATTTTTGGGGTTTTTCCCGTTCTCTATAGACTAGTGTGCTCAATTTTGATGCTAGGTATTTATATATAAAACCAGCACGATAAAATAGTGAAGCTTTCAATATATACTAATAATGTGCTCATTTAATAGTGAAAAACAACGAACAACTATTCAATAAAAATAGGAAAATATTACTCTTGTAAATAGTAGCGGTATCTACGTATTGTTATTTGTGACATGTCTTAGTGTCTTAATAGAAGGATTTCCCTTTGATTAAAGATTGTTTATGTCTAAAATAGAAATTATTTTATTCAATCTATTCTATTACAATAGAAATCTACTTTGTTCCGTACTTTTTTTTTATTATAGTCTCTGATAAATGATTACTATGAGCCAGACTCAATAGAATTTGATCATACAATGACCCATATATATAATCCGTATATATAATTCGATTAAATTACGAATAATCAGGAATACTACTCCCCTTCAAATTTAGAAAACCTTTTAGGTAGATTAAAAGGATCATCTTATTTAAGCCCTTATCTCTAAATCCTATGAGAAACTTTATAAAAGGTTCACAAAGTTCATGTTTTGGCTATTTCCTACATAAATATCCAAATTGTTCACATTTGAAATATCTCAACAGTTGAGGCAAATATATGTACTTGAGCTTGAACTGATGTTAAAATTTATTATCCTTAAAAAAAAAAAAAAAAAAAACAACATAAACGCCAACGTACACATTACATACTTTTTGGACAAGAGTTATTAGGAAATTGATTAAATGTAAATCTATACATCTTCAAATTAATGGAAAAGGATAACAAATGTTGGGGACTGATGGTAGGTTGAAAATTGGCAACCCTGCATATTACTACTCAGTTTGCTAGAAACCACTAACAGTGAATCCTCCATCAACGCTAATCACTTGTCCATTGATGAAAGAAGCAGCAGGGAGGCAAAGGAAGGACACCAGAGACGAAATTTCATTAGGCTGTGCAAGACGACGGATGGGAGTTCGACCTATCAGCCGTCTGAAATCTTCAGCATGACCATCCTGATAATTTAAAATGATCAAGTTTTAAACGTGTCAGATCAATATACCTAATGCAGTTTAGTCAAATTGTTACAAATCAAGGTTAATTAAGCTCAGAAAAATAATTGGCCGGAGGGGAGTGCTACATACATTTTCGACTTTAGCCCCAGTGTTGACAGCCCATGGTGCCACAGTGTTTGTACGAATGTTGTCTTTTGCCCATTCACATGCCAAATTTTTTGCAATCTGTATCACTGCAGCTGCAAATTTGGAAAAAACAGAAGAAAAAATTTAGGGCTTTGTAGGTGAGAACTACTTGCAATCTTATTTTAACTAAAACAAAAATAAGCAATATATTACCTTTGGTTGCTGCATAGGCAGATAGTCTGGGTAGAGCTTTCAGACCAGCAATAGAGGAGACAAATACAATACTTGCATCTTCTGAGGCTTTCAAGAGAGGATATGCAAGTTGAGAAAGATGGTAGGGAGATTCAACATTGGTGCCCATCATGCCTGAAAAATCTTCCAAAGTGTAATCTGCAGTACTTCTGAGAGTACATATTGCAGCATTATTTACCTGTGCCAAATAAAATATCACTTAGAAAATTAGATTTTACACCAAGATTGAAAAACAAAGCAAAAATAGTTAGCTCTTACGGTCTAATAATTATTATTATGTAGAGTCACAGATAATGTTGAACAATGCAATCCAAACATCGGAAACTTGATAGAAAAAATTATGACTCAATTATACTGAATGATTTCCCTCTTAATTGCACCAACACCTTTTGTGCACCACATGCCAGGCTATGCAAGTGGTTTAGTTGGAACTATATTAATGTGATCAATAGTACACCGCTGACCCGACTCGGAAATTTTGACACATAACACTGAAAGAAAGAGAAAAGTAAGGGCAATAAGTAAACATACAAGGATGTTAAGCTTGCCATTGAAAATACAGGAGACGGTTTTGATGAGGTTTTCTCTTTGAGCTTTAGAAGTGAGATCACAAACTGAGCCTGTCACTTTGAATCCCTTATCTTCCCATTCTTGAAGCCTCTCAATAATCTGTGCTTCGTTACGAGCACAAGTATGCACGGTTGCACCAAGTCCTGCTAGCTCTTCTACTATGGCATATCTAATGCACAAGTTATATATAGGAACAACGTCAGCTAGAGATGTAGATATGAATCTACTAAATAGTAACGAAACAAATTGAGAGCGAGACTGAGATCAGAGAGCTAGCTAACCCGATGCCTTTAGTTCCACCAGTGACGAGGGCGGTCATACCCTTTAGAGACCATCTTTGGCTGTTGAAACCGGCCATTGGTATGTTTTGCTTGAACTGTTGATTGCTTAACAGGCAATAAGAAAGCTGAGTTTAGTGCAGAAGGTTGAACTCAAGAAGAATGAACTAAAATGTGGATGTGCTGATAATCTATGAAAGCTTTGCATACATATATATACACACACACGCACATATAGTATATATTAACTCTTGCCGAACACCCAAATTGAAACCAAAGTTTTTAATATATTAATTCTTCCCGTACACCCAAATTGAAACCAAAGTTTTAATATTTTAAGAGAACTGTTATTCCCATCCCAATGTTTTATCTTCCCATCCACCTTAATGAATTTTTTAATTACAAATTTATTTATTTGTAAAATGACTAGTTAGGACCTTAGTTATCCTGTTTTGCATTTTTGGTTTTTTTATTTTATTATTATTTATTATTATTATTTTTTTTTTGTAAAAAAAGAAAATTTTGGGCATGATAACTCTCATCCTCTATTTAGATGATTTGTCGCCATCGTACAATTGAATTTGCATAGCTTTGTGGTTTTTTATTTGAATTTGCATACCTCTGTGGCTATGATTTTATATTTAAATTTTGTGTACATTATTATGATTAGTATTAGGTTAGGGTACAAATTGTTTCACGTTTTCATATGCGTATTCCTGGAGATGGTTTACTTGAGTAAGCTCCATTTTCAATCTCGACCAAACCTGTTTTTACTGGATTGCTTACAACTTGCAAGGGCTTCTAAGAAATTACAACTACTAGAACATGGGTGAGCCACATTTGCGGAGGCTAGGGGTTCGGGTTCGAGAGAGAGCACCAGAAATGTGCTCTGGAAGCAACTGGAAGACTTCGGTTTTTCCCTTCCCATGGTGAACAACAGGTGTACATCAGGCTGAAGATTGGAAGACTCCATTTTTTTTTTCTGCTGCTTTTTAGAAGAGAGTAATATTATTTGTTTATATTCTCTTTTTAAGAGATAAGTTATAATTATATATATTAAGGGTTATTTTAGGAATAATAGTGGGTGAGAAAATAACATTTTAATTTTTTAACTTTTTATAGTGGGTGCAAATATAATGTGGGTAGAAAAATAAGATAACGGGGTAAGTCTAGCAACTTTTTATTTTAATTCTTGCTGAACAGCCAAATTGAAACCAAAAAGTTTTAATTAATTAAAAAGAAGAAAGACTGATTAAAAAATTAAAAAAAAGGATCAAACACGGTACCTATTACGTGGTAGTCACTAGTCATCCTTTGGCCGAGTCCAACTTATTATTAGGGTTTTGTCAATTCATCAATACGTTGATAGGAGTTCAGCAATGCGTATTATTGACTTTTGCTTGGTAATATTTTCTTCTGACTTATCTTTGTGAGATGATAAGGTCAATTAATTAATAGCTAGGGTTTTCATTTCTAATTTTGTTTCATGCCTATTTTATCCTCTCTAATTTTAATATTTTTTTTTGTCAAACATTAGTTTTCTAATTTAATGTTATTTATGTAGAACAAAATGATTTTAAGCTTAAAATTATTATATTTGAGTCTTTTATATGGATGATATGAATGAGTTTGAAAACGAATTTGTAGATAATGTGGATGGTTTGATACCGAATTTATGGATAATTTGGATACATAGGTTTTGATACCTACCGCATAGGTAATATGGAGATGAAATTTTCTTACAATAAATAATGTAAAAAGGGGAAGCAAATGCATACAATAAATAATGAGTAATTGTGTGCATATTAGTCGTTGAGGGGTATATATAGGGAGATTTTTTAGTGTGACCGTCACATGAGGTGGTACACTACGTGTCCCCATATAAATGGTGAGATATGTGTGCTAAAAGGTTAATAACTTAAAAATTAAAATTTTTCACCACTTGCATAAAAACACGTGGTATACCATCTGTGTTCCCGTCACAACTAAAAATTTCTCGTATGTATAATAGTTATGAAAATTTCACTCAATTCTTTAACCCCTATCCTGACTCTAATACCTTAAAAAAAGACGATGTTTGCTTACGTAGAATGTTGGTCAAAGGGTTTACTTTGAAAATGTATAATTCTTAGATTTTCTATTCACGAATTAAATTGACTTTGTGCGGCTGACATAATTGCGAATGTGAAACGCTAAGGCTAAGGCTAAGATCCAAGATATTTGGCATCTTGGACTTCCGATATATTTGAACATGCATTTAGCATTAGCGTGAATTCATCCTAATGCTAAGTTCTATAGCTCACCACGCTGATCATCAGCTGGTTTGCTTAAGAGAGAGAGTAACTACAAATCAATCTCAACTAGTAATAAATCTGGTCATTAAAAATGTGGTAGAAATAGCTTCTTTAGTTTAGGCACGGAAATTCTGTTTACTTGGTATTGGTATTGAGAGTATGAATTCGACATCAGAGAAAGAAGAGATTTTGCATATGTTTGTAAATAAGCTGGCTATTTTCCTATATAGCCAATTAGTTTTATAGTATAACTTCAACTTTCTTCATATTGTAAGAGAATGTTATCCCACGTGTGAACTCCAATTGCTACACTTGCACTGCGTAACCCAATTTGTGTTGTCAACATGTTAGCTTTGAAAATTCGCCCCACGTAGGGAAGCTTATACTAGTTTGACCAAGAGGAAGAAACTTATAAAATAACAGATGCCTGTATGAAAGAATGGACAGCCCATAAATCACATCTTTGCTAAGAATTCTGCTAGTTTTGCGGTCAAAGAATGAACCAACTTGGCCAACGTGAACCAGAAGTTAGGTTGGAAAGCATGAGCTGTAGTTGGCCCCAATTGTAAGATTTTTTTTTTTAGTTTTCTAGTATGAGTAAAAAATTGAATAATAATGATAATTGAACGTTGACTTATGAAAAAAAGTTTTAATTCATTCATTTTTCCCTACAATAAATGATATATATGTCATATTACATGATAAGTCACATATAACATGATAAAAGCGATAGATATAATTATATACATTCTTTTATAGATTAAAAAAAATCATGCTTATTAGTTATCATCAAGGAAAAAAGCATGACGTTGGTGACGATGACGCTAAGTACTCAGGTACGTCCATTGACGTTGTCGTCCATGGTATAGGTTAATATCGAGATTAATTAACTCTAAGCAAATTGTGCTTTGCGCTCTAGTAATCGAGCTGTTGGGCCAAGTCTAGGGTATGCAATATCTCATGGGCTTCCCAACCTGCTTCGTCCCTGGTCATGCTCTAGTCACACGATGGTCATCTTATTATAGTACGGATCGGCTCTTGTCTGGCCATTTGTGCATTTGGTTTGGTTTTTTGCCTTTTGACGTTTTCAATAAAATACATCCTTCGATAAAAGAAAAATCTTACAAACCGCAATTGTTGACAAAGGAATTATATCAATCATAAATATGGGGCCACTCATATTATGCTTGTCCTTACGGTTTACCAAGTAAACGCTTAAATTATGGAGACTTTTTAACAACCAAGAACATTTCATTGCCATTTCCATCATAAATATGGGGACACTCATATTATGCTTATCCTTACGATTTTCAAAGTAAACGCTTAAATTGTAGAGACTTTTTAACAACCATGAACATTGCATTGACTTTTCCCAGGGGCTTACTACTAGCATAGAGGTGTGAACCTGTCAGCAAATTGGAGGGACTGATATTGCCCGTAGGAAATAATTGAAGAAATATGGTTGGAATTCTTAGATGATATGCGATCAGATAGATAGGATGCCAGATTTTGCAGCGTATGCATTGATGAGCTCAGTTCGCTAGAAGCCGCTAACTGTAAATCCTCCATCAACACTAATAACTTGTCCATTGATGTAAGAAGCAGCAGGAAGGCAGAGGAAAGTGATCAGAGATGATATTTCATTAGGCTGTGCAAGGCGACGGATGGGAGTTCGACCTATTAGGCGTCTGAAATCATCGGAATGACCATCCTGACATATCAAAATCAAGTTTAATTGTTAGATGAGATATGCCTAAAAAATTGGTAAAACACAAGGACTGAACAATATATATAGGTAGAAGGGGATGGATATTTACAGAATCAACTTTAACTCCGGTGTTGACAGCCCATGGCGCCACAGCATTAGTACGAATGTTGTCTTTTGCCCATTCGCATGCCAAGTTCTTCGAAATTTGGATGACTGCGCCTATAAGATAGCAGTGGTAGTGATGTTTAGAGGTTGCAATCAATAACACAATAACACTAGTGATTTGGCACATTATTCATGTGAGGCAGTTAATGCTGGAGAAGCTGAGAAAAAAATATAGGAAGACAGTTTTGGAAGATTAATTAATTACTCACTTTTTGTTGCTGCATAGGCAGAGAGTTTCGGTAGAGCTACCACACCGGCAATGGAGGCAACAAAGACAATACTTGCATTTCCTGAGGCCTTCAAGAGAGGATGTGCAAGTTGAGAAAGATGGTAGGGAGATTCAACATTGGTTTTCATCATACTTGAGAAATCTTCCAAAGTATAATCTGTGGTTCCTCTAAGTGTGCAAGTTGCAGCATTATTTACCTACATATTGCACCATATGTAGCACACTCAAAATCCATTTTATGGTAATTAGTTAATTCTCTTTAGATATAGACCCTTGCAATTCTTATTTTCTAAATAAAAACTCACATAATTCTAAACATCCAAATAAAACCTAAATTTGAAAAAGACTGCCAAGTAGAAAAGTAATTGACCTATTATTACAAAATATATACAACTTGTGCCACACTCTTCAAATCAAAACAATAAATGTTATTACTCACCTTAATTATAATGAACAAATAATTATTGCACATACTATTACCCCTAACATATATATATATATATATATTCACACACACACACATAAACATACGTTCAAAACTATATATAGTACTACTATAAGTTCAATACATACATATATATATATATATATTATATAAACTTTACCTATACGTATACAGTATTACTATACGTTTCCGATATATTATAAGCACAGTACTAACATATATGTTAAAAAATATTATATGTAATTAATTTACCTATATGTATATTTATGATTAGCAAATAATATATATTTTGTAGGTACATTAATATTTTTCATATATTATTACATATATTTGGCACATTTTATTATTATAAGATATATGTAAAAATAATAGGTAAATTAACTTCAAACCAAATAACATTGCTTTATTTTATAAGTAAATTGATTTTGAATCAAATAGCATTATTTTGTTATGTAGGTAAATTATTTTTCATGTATTTTACATATATTGGGTAAATTATTTTGCTTTTTTTTTTTTTTTAAAGCAATCTAACATTTTAAAATTTTAGTAGTATACGTAGGTGCACTATATGAATGAAATTGCATTCTTTTGTTATGTAAGCAAATTATTTTGCATGAATTTTACACATATCAGGCATTTAAAAAAAAAAATATATATATATATATGTGTGTGAAATAATTTACCTACATTAATATGTAAAATATAATTTTATTGACTTAATTTAGCATGTATAATAACATATATTATTATTATTATTATTATTATTATTATTATTATTATTATTATTATTATTATTATTATTTGTAAAATCATTAATTCTCCCTTACAATCTGCAGGGCATTAATTATGTACATCATAATAGGGGTATTTTAGGCATCCAAAAATTTTAAATGTGTGAAGTCAAACATAATTAATGAATTTGCTGATGTAGAATCTAGTCAATGGAATTTATTCTAGTAAAAAACTTATGTCGGGTTTGATGTAGAGAAAATTAAGTTTTAGGAGCTAAAGTCATATTTTTAGATTAATTAATAAGTTGTGAATTAAGGTTGTATTAGTCATAAATGAACTTACAAGGATGTTAAGTTTGCCTTCAAAAATAGAGGAGACAGTTTTGATGAGGTTCTCCCTTTGTGCTTTAGAGGTTAAGTCACAAACCGAGCCAGTCACTTTGAATCCCTTACTTTCCCATTCTTGAAGCCTCTCAAGAATCTGTGACTGGTTGCGAGCGCAGGTGTGAACGGTTGCTCCAAGTCCTGCTAGCTCCTCCACAATGGCATATCTAATACAATTGCACACCCAACAACAATGTTAGTTAACTAGCAACCAGTTAAGAAAGAGACAAATATATATGAGAACTGACAAACTTTTATACCAAGCATATAGCTCAACGTCATCATGACCAATATTGTCTCTAACTTAACCAACTATTATTAAGTGTGAGGTCTTATCACAAATGATTTATACGATATTAACAGTGAACCTCCCACACATAATTATATCTACGATCTGAGAGGCTCTATTCTCTAATAAGAACTGGAGATTAACGAGAAATTATCGTGAAGACTGAAGAGAAGAGATAGGTAATTTGATTACCCGATGCCTTTTGTTCCACCGGTGACGAGGGCAGTCATGCCCTTGAGAGACCATCTTTGGCTGTCGAAACCTGCCATGTATTTTGCTTCTCAAACTGAATATTTATAACCCTCAAATGTTCTTCAGCTAACAGGCAAGAAGAAAGCTCTGTATATTACTGAAGACTGAAGAAGAATGAACTAAAATGTGTTGTGCTCATATTCTATGCAATCAGTGTGTATATATAGTAGTCCTGCTTGACCAAAACAAATTATATTGAAACCAAACGACTAAATGAATATCACAAGAAACTGTCAAACAGCGTAACAGTGGACCACCAATTGGGCTGAGTCAAGCTTCTTGTTAATTAGGGATTGTGTCAATTCCTTGAACTGATGGGGTGTATGCAGGAGTAAAGCTATATAGTGGCCGGTGGGGAAGGGGTCCCTCCCCATTAACAGAACAACCCATTAACACATCATTTACCACTAACACTCCAAAATTTTTATCTACTAGTCTCGAAACCCAACCCTTTTCTCATCACTTTGCCCACCACAAAAGATTTTCATCCCTGTTCACGCTACAATCAAATGCCATACAAAAATTCTCATCCCCACTACACATACTGCAGCACATACAAAGATTTTCATCCCTGTTCAACAAGTAATCAATGAATTTTATCTACTAGTCTCGAAACTGAACTCCTTTTCTCATCACTTTGCCCACCACAAAAGATTTTCATCCATGTTCACGCAACAATCAAATGCCATATGCTTTACTTTTTTTTGGGGAATTCACTCGACAATCAACTTGAAAGCAGGGGATTTCTTTAACCCCTCAAGTATATAATCAATTCATGAAAACATATTAACAACAATACATTCACCAATTAGAAAATAAATTCAAAATTTAAAATAATAATTGGCTTTCAAATTTGACAGAAATCCTAGAACACACTTAGCGAGACTTATGGAATCAGAAAAGAGAGAAGATGAAGATGGTTGCAGTGGCTGACAAGAACTCCGATTTTGCTCCAGAATCTCCGATACAACTCCAGAATTTTCGATTGAATCTCTGATTAGGGCGAGCATGTTCATACATTTGTGAGTAATTATGAGTCATGTGTTGACAACAATTGAAGACCATGTGAATGGTACAAGGAAAATGGCAGCAACCGTGACCTTGTGTTTGCTTGCATGCAATTGTGCATGCTTTCTCTTCTATGCATTAAATGGCAAATGGAGAAAAAGTTGTACTCTATAGGCTATGTATAGACTTTGGTGCATGCTAGGTAGGCTAGGTGATGATTATGTCATGTGAACTTAAGGTTTTTTGGTCTTGGTTGTTGGCTGCTAGTGTATGTCCATAACTAGATGCAATATTTGTGCATTTCGTATGCTTGGAAAGTGCGAAGGTAAGCACCATAGAAGCATTCAAGAGGGAGAGCATCGGCTCTCCCATAGGTAAGGTTGAACATGGGTTGAGAGAAAATCAAGAGAGCTAGAGTGAAAAGTATTCTAGTTAAAGAACTCTTGGGGTAGAGTGAGGTTTTTGAAAAATTCTGTGAGTGGGTGTACAAGGGATTTGGGATTGGATTATGTTGATTTAACTTATGTGTAACTTATACTGTTATTCTTATAGTGAAGAGCAATATCTCTTCGAGGAAGTAGGCAGGTTTTTGCAGAACCTTATAAATTTCTCGATGTCTTTATTTCTTGTATTTTATTTTGTTCAACTGTGGGTCTGTATCTTGGTGAGGTAATCTGAATCTTGTTTCCACACTAACGAACAAGCCAAGGCACAACAAAGCAGAGCATCATAATTTACTTTTTACAATCGAAAGAGAAAAGGAAACGGTTGAGGGAGAGAATTAAGGTTGCGTTGAGAAAATGAAAAAAGGAGCGTGCACTAGTTTATTTAACACTAAGCGTCCAATTTGTTCGCGCTCAAACTCTATCCGTCGTTGGGGGCGTCTCAATCTATTTGTTTAAGATGACATATATAACTATTTGCGACATTACTTATAGCAGTGTCGCAAATATTTTTGCACTAACAAATACCGCGCCAATTTCCTCTTATTTGTGATGGTAGTGTAATCTGACGCAAAAAAAGTGTCGCAAAAAGGCATTTTTCTTGTAATGCTAAGCAAGCTTCATCTCCTAATATGCTGTCCTTTTAACCATTTTGATGGTGCTTATTTGGTCTTTTTTCTTTTATCTCGTATTAATACATTCCTAGGTGCAATATATTTACACTTCCTAGTCGTATTATTAGGAAGGAGAAGTTGTTTTTATAGACTTTTTCGCTTCCTATGTATTTAGCAGTGGATTCAGAATTTTAATATCCAATATGGTCTCAATATAAAAGTTTAAAAAAAATTTAAGCGAAAATAACATTGAAAAATAGAATGATAGACTACCAATTTTTCATTTATAATTACACTACAAACAACATTACAAATTACAAACTAAATTTGTCCATAGTGAAATTTCATGTTTTACTAGTACAAAAAAAACTTTGCGCGACGCAGGTCCTTCGTTGCGCAATGGCAAAAAACGTCGTGCAAAAATTAGCCCAACGTACCTTTGTCGCACGCCAACCGTCGCGCCAAAGCAATCACAGTAGAACTTGTGTGACGAACAAATAACCTACATCGCACAAAACCACTTTGCTTATGAGTACAAATATATATATATATATATATATATTTTCCCCTTTTGCATATGAGTACAAAATAAATAAATTAAAATCTACTTAGTAAATATATATACTATTGAACTTGATGGGAAACGCATTGTACAAAATTAGTTTCAATGATTCAATCGTCAAATTTGTTTGTATATATTTCGAGATCGCATACGCCAAAAATCCCAAAAAACAAACATTCACAGATCAAGTAATGAGACAAAACTTTTCGACGGTTATAAACGAATAATCACGATTTAACGGTTATTTAACTCCGATTTTGATGATTTTTTACAACTACACTCCTTGACCCTATATAAATACAACGAATGAATTCGATCTTCAATTTAAAATATTTACACTAGTAGATACCACAAAATCTTTATGTTATACTTAATGAAAGTATAAATAAACTCTAAGTATTAGTGAAATTATCGTTTTGATTGGATACGCATTCTACGAAGCTAGTTTCAACGATCCAACCGTCAAACTTGTTTGTATATCTATTGAGATCACATAAGCCAAAAATTGCAAAAAACAAACATTCAGAGATCAAGTCACGGGACAAAACTTTTCGACGGTTATAAACAAAAAATCACGATTTAACGGTAGTTTTAACTCCGATTTTGATAATTTTTTACCGCTACTACTCTTTAACCTTATATGAATACAATGAATGGATTCGATCTTCAATTTAAAATATTTACACTAGTGGATACCACAAAATATTTATGTTATACTTAATGAAAGTATAAATAAACTCCAAGTGTTAGTGAATCTATTGTTTTGATGGGATACGCATTATACGAAACTAGTTTCAACAATCGAACCGTCAAAACTTGTTTGTATATGCTTCGAGATCGCATACGCTAAAAATCGCAAAAAACAAATATTCAGAGATCAAATAACGGGACAAACCTTTTCGACAGTTATAAATAAAAAATCACGATTTAACGGTAGTTTTAACTCCGATTTTGATGATTGTTTACAACTACACTCCTTGATCCTATATGAATACAATGAACTAATTCGATCGTTAATTTAAAATATTTACACAAGTGGATATCACAAAATCTTATGTTATACTACAAAGTCATTGACTTTGCGCGACGAAGGTGTGCATTCGTCACGCAAAATAACTTTGTACAACATAGGTGAACCTTCGTCAAACAAAGTAGTTTTGTGCGACGGCAGTCTTCATCACGCAAAGCTGTTTTGAGCGACGCAGGTGCACCTATGTCACGCAAAGTTATTTTGCGTGACGAATGCAAACCTTTGTCAAAGTTAGGAAAAAAAGCAGTAAAGCATTCTTGGTTTGGCACCAAAATCTTACGCGACAAACAAAACGTCATGCAAAATGCCATTGCACAAAGGTCGTTTGCACGACGTTTTGTGTTTTGTGTCACGCAAACATACTTTGTGCGACTAAATTTGCTCCGTCGCGCAAACATGTTTTTGTACTAGTGTTACATCCCAAAATCATAGCGATAACTATAATAATTAAATAAAAAAATTTGTCACTACAGATGGTAGAGGTGACCAGGTGGTGCTTAGTAGCTAGTTTTTTTTTTTTTTTTTTTTCTTTGGACAAAGGTAATTTTCGTTACCAAGAGAGCACAAGTACAACCAAAGGGGCCCAATTACATAGCAAACCCAAAACAAAAAGTGAACCCCAAACACTAAACAAAAGCCCAACCTAAGAGAAGAGCCCAAAAATAGAAAAACAAAAACCCTAAAAGACTAGCTTCCGCCGATGCTGTCGAAGAACCTGCCGCCGACCACCATCCAGCATCCCATGCCAAAGATCGCACCAAACACAGCCCCAAAGAAGAAGGCTCAACCTTCCTCCACCAAGCACCACACATATCGAAATTGTAGCCACCAAGGAAAGAAGCTAGCGGGAAAGAATTTTCCCCCATCAACAAAGCCAAAAACGGCATACAAGTGTAAGGTGGTGATGCGTACACCATATGAGCCGAAGCTCTGCACATCTTTCGAGAAAGTCGCAAAACGCGGGTGGAAGAGATGGTTGCAGAATCGGACATGTGTGAGAATGATGGATGACTGAAAAAAAATGCAAGGGTCAGAAAATGGCTGGATTAGAGTCATGGAGGTGGAAAAACTTGAGGGAAAATAAGAAAAAGGAAGGTTGGAAATGGGACTGTCAGATCGAGACCAAAGAAAGGTTAGATTGGAGGCCTTAGGGGATGGATTACCAAGAAAAACGAGTCGGAAAACATGGAGAAAGCCAGTTGCACAGAGAAGGGAAGAGAGACAAAAGACGAAGAATAAAAATGAAGGCCATCGACCCTGGCCACTGTTAGGGTCGGTGACAAATCGAGATGACGGAATTAGGAGCACTCACACATCGGTGAGAAAGTCTCTCACATAGAGAGAAGGTCTCTCACGCAGAGAGAAAAAGCAGAAGGAAATGAGATACAATCCAATGTACATTTGTTAGATGTGGATGCTTAGTAGCTAGTTTGGATAATACTTCTGATTTAGCTGACATCCAAATCCAAAGTACAAATTTTGTTCATCCTTGCATTTTACAAATTAAACGCTCAAATTATAGACTTTTTAACAACAGAAGTATTGCACTGACTATTTGCCCCGGGCTTATTATTCACACTTTGAATTATACTTTATGAGGGACAAGATAATGGTAGAGTAGCCCACTGAACTCACTAGTATTTGATTGGACTTAGTACAAAATATATGGTTGATAGAGAATTATGGTGGTTGGGAAAACACATCAACTAAATTATACCACAGGTGGCAGAGCTGTAAAAGTTTAGGTTTTAGGGATCGTAGGCGGTGTTTGCTTTGAATGAAGGCTTTGAGATTATAGTTGAAAAGCTAAGAGACTTTTGCTGAAAAGCAATTGGGTTTGTGATGAAAAACAGTTAAGTTGATCGAAGAATCACTCAAAGTTTTGTTTAATTGTAAAGATTGAATTTGACAAAGGTTCTGACCTTGGAGGCCGTTGACTATATTTATAGGCGGTGAAGAAATAGCAACCTCGATCATATCGCTGAGCTGGAGCATGAGTAGATTGGTCATTTAGCTGTCTCTATAGAAATTGGACAGACTGATTATTATCCATAGGAAAAAAATAAAAGAACTTTTGGGATTGTTAGCTAATGTGTGATTAGGATGCTTATTTTGCAACCTAGACATTGATGAGATGAGTTCTCTAGAAGCCGTTAACTGTAAATCCTCCATCAACACTAATAACTTGTCCATTGATGTAAGAAGCAGCTGGCAGGCAAAGGAAGGTGACGAGAGATGAAATTTCATTAGGCTGTGCAAGACGGCGGATGGGAGTTCGACCTATTAGGCGTCGAAATCATTAGCATGACCATCCTGAGAATGCAAAACCAAGTTTAATTATTAGATTAGTTGCCCAAATTATTATTAAAGATCAAATTTGGTAAGGCACAAGGACTCAAGAATATATATATATATAGGCAGAGGGAAAGGTATTTGCATATTCAACTTTAACACCGGTGTTGACAGCCCATGGCGCCACAACATTAGTACGAATGGCGTCTTTTGCCCATTCACATGCCAAGTTCTTTGAAATTTGGATGACTGCACCTATAAAATAGAAATGAAAATTAACGTTTAGAGGTCTTGCAGTTAAATAAACTTCTATATTTTGTAAAATTAATTAGTTGCTCACTTTTTGTTGCTGCATAGGCAGAGAGTTTCGGTAGAGCTACTACACCGGCAATGGAGGCAACAAAGACAATACTTGCATTTCCTGAGGCCTTCAAGAGAGGATGTGCAAGTTGAGAAAGATGGTAGGGAGATTCAACATTGGTTTCCATCATACTTGAGAAATCTTCCAAAGTGTAATCTATAGTTCCTCTAAGTGTGCAAGTCGCAGCACTGTTTACCTACATGTTGCACCATATGTAGACATGTCAAAACCTTCTTCATATTAATTAAGCGGCTAATTAAGGTTTAAACTATTATTTATTTAGTCGTAAATGGACTTACAAGAATGTTAAGTTTGCCATAAAAAATAGAGGAGACGGTTTTTATGAGGTTCTCCCTTTGTGCTTTAGAGGTTAAGTCACAAACCGAGCTAGTTACTTTGAGTCTCTTAGGCCATCTCCAACCGAGGGCTGGTCAGAGGGCTCATTTTAGCCCTCTGACCCTCCAAGATTCTTCAAGATATTAATATTTTAATGAACAGTACAGGGTCATATTTGCCTCCGTCTTCAACCGAGGGCCAGAGGACTCGTTTGAGCCTTGTCATAATGTTGACTACAAAAATTACAAAACCTACGTGGCGCGCAGGCCGAGTAACTAATGAACTAACTACGTCTTTCGGTTGAATGCGGGGCGTGCCAACTCGTCGGCCGAGCTCGGCCGAGGAGTAAAATGTGATGTCGCGTTGGGTGCGCTATCGACTTCTGTATCTTGCGATTGCGACCGAGGAAGGAACGCTCTCGGTCTCTGGGTTCTATAGCCTGAAGACAAGGCTACTAATTCTACGGAGTTCACAGGTCGTCGGACCCTGATTCGGTCACTGTGATTATATTCGTAAGAGTATAAGCACGCCGAATCAAGACCAAACTATATGGGCACAGGTACTCGAATGTGATGTATGTCTTGATGGTAAACGTAGTTCGGCCGTCGGAATGCCGAACCTTGAAACTTACTTGCGAGTATCCAATCATAAACTCACTCGGCGTCCAATACGCCGAGCAATGCAACTCGTAACACCCAACTACGCCGAAAAGGCTTAGTTAGATGACCTCTACCAACAAAGGTTCGAAAACCCTTCTCGGCCGAGACTTAGATAGATAATCGGTCGACCTCGACGCAGTGCTGTTTATCCAAACTGAAGGTGTTTCTCGGTCGGCTGATTCTGCGGCAGCAGTGCTGTTTATCCAAACTAAAGGTGCTCACCGGTTGCTTCCACAGTGCTGTTTATCCAAACTGAAGATGTGTCGGCAGGAAACGAAAAGGAAAAATCTCAAGGTGTTTGAGAGGTTTTGCGCAGGGCAATTGTATGCTGATTGTGAAGTCCTTTTCTATTGCGTAATTTCTTGTATTTATAGCACCTCGCTCCTTGAATCCCATTCTGATTTGGATTGGGAGTCCTTGTCCCATCTCACCTTTAACTCGAACAATCCTAGTCCTACTGGGATTCTGAATTCTCCTCCTTTTGAAGCTTTATCCCTTGCCGGTCGAGAATCCTGGTCGCACCAGGATTTCCTCGACCTTTCCTCATTCATTTGGACTACTTAAGATAGGATCTGGCCGACCCTGCCAGCTGGTCCGGGTTTCATTATTTGGCCCATAGCATGTGTCATTACCTTGGGCCGAGCACATCTTGCTGCTCGGCCCAATCATAATATTTTGGGCCCAAACATTGCCCCCTCGCTTCTGAGGTCGCCGACTGTTAACTCTTGGTCGAGCCTCGGCCTTGAAGAAGCGAAAACATTTATTGCTTTTTTGGACCTTACTTCAATAATGACCATTATTCCTGTATATTTATGAGACATGATTGCACCTTCCTCGTTGCCCCCAACGCGTGGCCACGTGTCAATCTTCCGCCACTCTTAAAAGCTTCAATCATGGGCCTCGAAACCGTGCACTAACTGAACCGTCTCATCCTTATTAATACATTGAACCTGTCGCCGCACGCCATCGTGCATCCTGGATTTTCGACTCCTCGATCCCATTTTCGTAGGTTCCCAAAATATCCGAAATGATTGCAGGCTTTCCCGGTTACATTTCCCCCCAATTTGAACTAACGCTTTTCGAATTCCAATCCCTTTCGAAATTCAGGCTTTTGATCTTCAATCTGAAAAGCCTATAAATACCCACACTTTACTCTATTCGTATCTTACGCTTTCAGAAATCCCAAACTCTCAACTTTTAATCATCCTTGCTCGTTCAGACCAAACCCTCTAGTTTTCCTTTCTGCAATCTTTCCAGTTCTTCCAGATTACTCTAATGGCTTCCTTTATCGCGAAACTTTCCGAGGAGATCAACAAGTGCAAAGACTTCATTGATCGGAGCACCGTCAAAACGCTTCGATTTGAAGAGGACATGGCCACCACCCACCAGATTCTGGGTCCCCTCTTCAGAGACGCAGTGCCATCGTCCGTTACAGACCTGCTCAAGGAGCAGTGTTTAACACCCCTGCAGCAGGGGTTTGACTGGTCAAAGTGGGTTCTGGCGCGGCCTCAGGGAGCCTGGCCCTCGACCACCACGGCCTGGGCTGCCTGGGTCGACCGGATGAGCACATTCTTCTCCAAGGAGTGGAAGGCTCTTGGCATCTACGATGCCATCATGCTGTCAACCATGGAGATTGCCATGGATAAGGAGCTGCTCCTGGCGGCCCTGAGTCTATGGTGTTCGGCCACCAACACCATGGTCTTACCTTTCGGCCCCCTCGGCCCCACAATCCTCGACGTCTCGGCCATCCTTGGGACTTCCCCGACCGGCCTTCCCATTGACGCCGCCCTTTCTAGATACCCTTCTCCTCTCGACCTGAAGGCGCTATTCGACGAAAGGGCCGTCGAAACACTGAGCCGGGGCGACCGGGAGCCCTCGAGGGAAGAAGTTCAAAAACTCCATAAGAACTTCTTCAACTACAACACCCTCATCCTGCATTTCGCCGGTCGAGGCGAGGAGGGCCTGAGGAAGGGAGAGCACGAGGCCTTCCTCTTCTACTGGTACAACAAATTCATCTGTTGTACCAGGTCGAACAAGTGCCTGGTGGAGAACATGCCGGTGGCCCAGGCACTGGCCAATGGTCGCTCGCTGGCTCTCAGTCCAGCCATACTCGCCAACCTCTACCGTTGCCTGGCTGAGGAGACCATTGGCAAGATTGACCCGCACCAGAACGGACCCCTCTGGGTGTTCCAACTCTGGTTGCAGGTCTACTTTTCCACCCTTCGACCGGAGGTTCCTGCCTTCGACCGAACGGCCGCCCTCGGCCCTCAATTGGCCTCTCGACCGGCGCCTCCCCACAGAGCCGACGAGGTCTTCAGACACTTCTTCAGCCTCGACGTCCTCTCGGATGACGAGTTCCTGGTGTGCCGGCGCCAGGAGTACCCTTTCTCGCTCGGGCTTCCTACGGCAGCGTGGGCCGCGTCCGAGGATGCGAACATTCGTCAACGATGGGGGTCGTTCGTTGTGGCTCGTGACCTTCCACTGGGTTGCGATGCCCGCCGAGCGGGCTGGGAGTTGTGCCACCCTAATTTTGTTGCCCGGCAGCTCGGCTATCTCTAGGGCAGCCCAGTCCCCCTGCTCGCTTCTCGGTCACTCCTGAGTCGGGGACGTCTTACCGGCTCCTCTGAGAGGGAGTGCAAGACGTCCGACCAGGAGTTCCAAGAGAAGTGCAGGAAGTTCCGGATTCGGCCGGCGGTTCCTGAATCTTTGGGAACCGACACCTTCGGGGACTGGTGGGAGGAGTACACAGGCGACTTCTTCGGCGCCCCGGCCGAAGATCTGGTGAAGAAGATCTTCGGCGACCGTCCTCGGTCGACGTCTTCGGCTCAACCTAAGGAGCCGGCCCAAGGTAGTCTTTCCGCCTCTTTTTTTTGTTTTTTTTTTTGTTTTTTTTTTTATATATAACTTGATCCTTGTTACTAATCACCTTGCCCTTCAGGGAGTCGTGTGCCGAGGAAGGTAGAGGTGGTCGCTGCGGTGGCGAAGGCGAAGAAGGTGCAGAAGCCTATCGCCACCGAGCGGGCAGTTCCGGCCAAACGCCCCCACCGAGCGGCCGAGCCGGAGGTTGATGCCCCTCGCCCTTCTAAACGCGTCAAGAAATTGGCGAAGAAGGGCGACCGGGAAATTCATGTCGTCCCTAGTGATACTACAGGGACGGCTGCTCCTGCCGGCTCTCCTCCTTTGCCGGGTGCCCCGACTCCTCCGGCCGTCTTTCCTCCTGAGGCCACGGCCGACCCTATCGGCGAATCAACTACTGCTCCAGAGCCGGTCGTGGCGCTTGTCGCGGGAAAGTCGGCTGCCCCTGTCGAGGGACCTTCTTCTCCAATGGTCATCCTGGAGGTACAATTCTGCTTTTACCCTTTTTCCTTTAGGTTTTTTGGTCGTAACACAAAACGTTTTTTTCTTTTTGTTCAGGATGTCGAGAGCGAGAGCGAGGAGATCCCCCTGGAACGCCGTCGCCGACCGGTTAGCTCCCCTCTCGTCCGTCCTCCTCCGGCAGTCGAGGCGGCCGCTCGACCCACTCCTCCGGCGAATCGCGGCAAGCGCCCCATGGCCGAGCCTGAGGCTACGGCCGAGTCGCCGATCCACCCACAGGATGAAGATCTCCCCATTCCTCCGCAGGAATTCTCCTCGGCCTATGTAAGTCTTCTCTTTTTTGCATTAATTTTCCAATGACACATGTTCTTAAAAGACTATTAAAATGTCAGGTGCCCGAACATTCATTTCACCGGCAATTTTATGCGCCGAGGGGTGTTGTTTATATTTCCTGGCCGCCGTCGTGGCCATCCAATATAGATAACCTCCATCGGCCGCGTGAATTGCGTAGCGGTCTAAGGCACTGGGCTCGGCCATTAAGTTCCCTGGGTTCGAGCAATGACCCAGAGGGCATGGCCGAAGTCTCCTCTCGGCAGGTCTAAAACGATCCCCTTTTTCCTTTATGCACTATATCACGACGTCTGTTTTTTCTTCACAAAGTTCTCCTTTTATGTGCAGCCGTCGTGGGAAGTGGAGCTTGATGCCCTTCTTCAGAGCACGACCGGTGAGGCCGGTTCTTCTGCTGCTCCGGCCGAATCGGCGGGAGCCACGCCCGCCGAAGTCTTCGTGAAGCTGCACGAAGTCTTGTCTCTGACTGCCTCCCAAGCTCTCCGGTGCAAAGGCCTCGACTCTGTTGGAGAGTGTCTCAATGACCTCGCCAGCGGTGGTCATCTGAGCCCGGAGGGTATCTCTTTCCTGACCGACCTCCTGGAGCGAACTCGGCAACACTTCTACATCTTCGAGCGAGCCCTTCAAGCCGAGGATGACTTGAAGGCTGCCAAGGTCGCGCAAGAGGCCGGCCGAGCTGAGATGGAGGCACTCAAAGCTAAGAAAGCGAAGCTGACTGAGTTTGATCGCTAGATTTTTGACCTCCA